TTTTTAGTGAAAGGTGATGAATTTCGGTGATGAAAAATGATGATCCCCTCTCTTCGATTTTGCCCCCCTTTTATACTGTTCCGGACCTTCGATTCTTTAACGAGATTTCGCTCCAAGTTGTGGTCCGAGCTTCCGCAGAATGCTTTGAATCAAGAACTGCCATTGAAGCTTCCGAACAATCGGACGTTCACAAGACCGGAGCCTCTACCGTTTGTGTTGTCCGCGTCGTTCGTTCTCGGTGTTCCGTCTTTCGCGGTATTGTTGTGGTGTTCGCGTCCTGAGTCTGGAGTGTTGCTATTCACGGCTTTTATTTGGGGATGGAAGAAAACATAACATAATAATAATAATAATAATAATAATAATAATAATAATAATAATAATAATAATAATAATAATAATAATAATAATAATAATAATAATAATAATAATAATAATAATAATAATAATAAAACACAAACTTTAATTTAACAATGCTTTTTAAAATAAGAGAAAATACAAAATTAAGTAAATATTTTCTTACTAATTCTAACAAAGTTTATTAAAAATAATAACATAAATATTGTTCATCAAATCTCCCCACACTTATTTATTTGTTTGTCCTCAAACAAAGACATTATTAGAAAGAAAAGAGAAGATTAAAGAAAAAGAAATCAAGTATTACACTGAGCTTTACCCAAATAGCCTTTCAAATTTATTTGCCTCATCAATGCAAAATCAGTGTCAACTCAAAGAATGTACAAAACATTTGACTAGAACTTAAAAACTTTAGCAACAAAAATAAATATAAAACTTGTGCTCGTGTGCTGACACCCCTTATATGAGCTATACAAAAACTCAATAAAATAAATACAAAAATTTCACCAAATTCAACCTAAACCAAATTCAGAAATATTCTATCACAGTGCAGGTGCAAAACATGAATGGAAATTAGGATCAAAGGCATTTATTAAAATTGAAATGCAAACGCTCGTCTCTTCCAAAGTTCACTCATTATTCTTCTATTTTGACTTTTTCCAAAGAGAACTTCCCCAAAAACCTCGCCATTTTACGCCAGACTTGTTTGGGTTTCAATTTTGTGTGTACTCATAAACCAGACCACGACACTTATTGATTTATTTATTATACATGTGTATAGGTGGCTGATTCAGCGGAGTAGAATCTCTTTTTTTTTTTTTTTTTTTTTTGCAAACAAAATAAATAAATAAACAAATACTCTCATTTAATTTTTTTAAATATATATTTTTTTATCACCTCACTTATGCCACGAAGATGATCCCTTGAACCAACACTCTACACCACAATTTATAGCACTCAAGAAGTATTTAAGAATTTGAAAAAGGTAATATAAAATGAAACCAACATATTAACTATTAAAAAAAAATGCATAAAACATATAAGGGTATTTGTGATTTAAAAGACTTTTAATTTAGTTCTCTCTTTTTTTTTTTTGTTTTGTTTTGTTTTGTTTTGTTTTGTTTTTTTTTTTTTACTAAGTTATTCAAAATATAAAAATAAAGAAATTAACTAATCACATGTAATATACATACTAAGAGTTGAGAAAACATGCATTATTTTCATCATAGGCTATTCAAAAAGCTCATTGGGTAAAAGCTTAAGTTCATACTAATTTATTTTTAAAAGTAAAATAATTTTTTTTTTCAACAGAATGATAACTATTCTAATTTTTTATTTTTTTAAAAGTAAAATAGTTTTGACAGATAGTAAAATAGGTTTGATAAATAGTATAAAATAGAAATTCCCTCCCCACACTTATTTCAAACATTGTCCTCAATGTGGAGAAGAACACTTATAAGAGGAACACAAACAACATGAAGATAAAGGAGATACGGGAAGAGAATTGGGTTGCCTACCAATAGCGCTTTAGTTATTGTCAGTAGCTAGACATGGGCATTCAGAGTCCCGTAACTCTACCCGTTCAACAATCAGGGCTGAGGGTTCCCCCTCAAGGTATTGCTTTAGTCTTTGCCCATTTACCTTAAATTTTTCACCTGTTTCTGGATTTTCAATCTCACATGCACCATGAGAAAACACCTCACGTACCACAAAAGGCCCTGTCCACCTAGATTTTAACTTACCTGGAAACAATCTCAAACGAGAATTAAATAGCAAAACTTTCATCCCAGGTTCAAAATTTTTTCTCAAAATAAACTTATCATGATAAACTTTAGTCCTCTCTTTATAGATTTTTGAGTTTTCATAGGCTTCATTCCTTATTTCATCTAATTCATTCAAATTCAATTTTCTTATTCCACCAGCTCTCTGCAAATCAAAATTTAGGAATTTAATAGCCCAATAGGCTTTATGTTCTAACTCTACTGGCAGATGACAAGCCTTGCCAAAGACTAACCTGTACGGGCTCATACCAATCGGGGTTTTGTAAGCTGTCCTGTAAGCCCACAGCGCATCATTCAGCTTGATGGCCCAATCCTTCTGGGAAGGATTCACTGTTTTTTCCAAAATTCCCTTGATTTGTCTGTTACTCACCTCGACTTGTCCAGAGGTTTGCGGATGGTACGGAGTAGCCACTTTATGAGTAATGCCATACTTTTTAAGAAGACATGCAAAAAGTTTATTACAGAAGTGGGTACCTTCATCGCTAATAATAGCTCTGGGTGTCCCAAACTTGGCAAAAATATCTTTCAAAAACTTCAAAACCACTTTACTGTCACTTGTCCTGGTAGCTACAGCTTCAACCCATTTTGACACATAATCAACAGCCACAAGAATATAATTATAACCAAAGGAAGTAGGAAACGGCCCCATGAAATCAATTCCCCAAACATCAAAGAGATCAATAACCAAAATATTTGAAAGGGGCATTTCATGAGGCTTACTTATATTACCAGTCCTTTGGCACCTATCGCACTTAGCACAAAATTCAAATGCATCCTTGAACAAAGTGGGCCAATAAAAACCAGACTACAAAACTTTTAACGCAGTTTTCTTCCCACTAAAATGTCCTCCGCAATATAAAGTGTGACTGTGATTCAAAATATTTTTCTGCTCAAACTCAGGGATACATCTTCTAATTATTTGATCAGGACAAATTTTAAACAACTAAGGCTCATCCCAAAAGAAATGTTTTGCCTTGGAAAGAAAATGTTTTTTTCTTTGTGAATTTAAGCCTGGGTGAAATTGACCCGAGACTAAATAATTCACAATATCTGCATACCAAGGCTCTTTATTATGTAAAGAGAGCAACTGTTCACCTGGAAACCTGTCATTGATAGGAATATCAGAATTAGGATAATTATTGGCTACTTCAGGTAAACGAGACAAATGGTCAGCTACCACATTCTCGCACCCTTTTTTGTCCTTGATAGTTAAATCAAATTCTTGCAACAACAAAACCCATCTTATGAGTCTAGGTTTAGCATCTTTTTTAGCCAACAAATATTTTAGAGCAGCATGATCAGAATAAACAATCACCTTAGAACCAATCAAGTAAGAACGAAATTTTTCTAATGCAAAGACTATAGCCAACAACTCCTTTTCAGTAGTTGTATAGTTAGCCTGAGCACTATCCAAAGTTCTACTTGCATAATGAATCACATAAGGCATTTTATTAATTCTTTGTCCTAACACAGCACCTACGGCATAATCAGATGCATCACACATTATTTCAAAAGGAAACTCCCAATTAGGTGCCGCAAGAATGGGAGCAGCAGTTAATTTTTCTTTCAAAAACTTAAAAGCAGAAAGGCAATCATCATCAAATTTGAAAACAACATCTTTTCCCAGCAGGTTACATAAAGGCCTGCAAATTTTTGAAAAATCTTTTATGAATCGCCTGTAAAAACCTGCATGACCAAGAAAACTCCGTACTTCTTTCACAGATGTAGGGGGAGGTAATTTAGAAATAACTTCAATTTTAGCCTTATCGACCTCTACTCCCCTGTCAGAAATGATATGCCCCAAAACAATGCCCTCTTTAACCATGAAATTACTTTTTTCCCAACTCAAGGTTAAGTTCATTTTAACACATCTTTCAAGCACATAAGATAAATGAGCTAGACAATCATCAAAAGAATCACCAAACAGAGAAAAATCATCCATAAACACTTCAACATATTTTTCAATCATATCAGAAAATATTGACGTCATACACCTTTGAAAAGTCGCAGGTGCATTACATAACCCGAATGACATTCTGCGATAAGCAAAAGTGCCAAAAGGGCATGTAAATGTCGTTTTTTCTTGATCTTCAGGTGTAATAGGAATCTGAAACTAACCTTGAAAGCCATCAAGGAAACAATAATAAGCATACCCAGCTAAACTTTCTAACATTTGGTCAATAAAGGGCAAAGGAAAATGACCTTTTTTAGTGGCGGCATTTAATTTTCTATAATCTATGCACATGCGCCACCCAGTTACTGTTCTAGTTGGGATTAATTCATTTTTTTCATTACTAACCACAGTAATCCCAAACTTTTTTGGCACTACATGAACTGGACTTACCCACTTACTATCTGAAATTGGGTAAATAATACCTGAGTCAAGCAACTTTAGGACTTTTGCACGTACAACCTCCTTCATATTTGGATTTAACCTACGTTGAGGTTGGCGAACAGGAGTTGCCCCTTCTTCAAGTAGGATCCGGTGCATACAAACCGTTGGACTTATTCCTTTAATATCGTCTACTGTCCAACCAATTGCACTTTTATATTTTTTTAATACCGCCAGCAGACTTTTTTCTTGCTCATGTGAAAGGTTGGAAGCAATTATTACAGGATAAGTATTATTTGGACCTAAGAAAGCATATTTTAAAGAATTAGGGAGAGGTTTCAGTTCAAGCTTGGGTGGAACTTCAGCTTCACTTGAATGGAGTTTTTCCTTAATTTGCTCCAAACAGCCTGTAACTGAACCTCCTTCACCACTCCCCTCTTTTATTGTGCTTTGGCCGGACTCCACTTCGTTGGCCTCAGTCTCTTTGACCTTCAATGGATATTCATCTAAAAACTCAGCAGAAATTATTGAATCTAAAACATCGACAACAAACAATGACTAATATCGTTTTCAGGCAATTTCATTGATTTCAGAATGAAAAATTCAACAGTTTCATCAAGGACAGTCATAGTTAGTTTTCCATTTTGGACATCAATCATTGTTTTTGCTGTGGCCATGAAAGGTCGGCCAAGCAAAATAGGCATGTCCTGCTCATGATTACACTTATTATTTACGTCTAGAACAACAAAATCAGCAGGAATTAGTAATTTATCAACTTGAACCAAAACATCTTCTACAATGCCCCTGGGATATCTAACAGAACGATCAGCAAGCTCGAGGGACATTGTAGTAGATTTTAATTTATCCCGACCCAATTGCAAATAAACAGAATATGGCATCAAGTTAATGCTTGCCCCTAAATCTAGCATTGCCTTTTCTTTCTTAGAATTCCCCACGGTAATAGTTATTATGAAACTACCGGGATCTTCTAATTTTGGGGGCAAGTCAGTTTGCAAAACAGCACTCACTGTTTTAGACATGAAAACTTTTTCATTATGTTCATACTTACGTTTCCTAGTGTTTAGTTCTTTCAAAAACTTAGCATAGGCAGGCATATTTTTAATCATGTCTAACAAAGGCAAATTCACATGCACTTTTGATAACAAATCATAAATTTCAAAAAATGATTTATCAAATTTTGAATTTTGCAATCGACCAGGAAATGGAACTGGGGGAACATAAGGCTTAGGGGGCACATAAGGATTAGCAGATTTATGCAATTTGGGTTCATCCTTATTAACATTATCATCGACATCCAAGTTCTCAACTATTTCAATTGGTTCAGAAGTGGTATTCGCTTTTACATTGTTTTCAATAACTTTACCACTTCTTAAAACAGTCATAACTTTAGCTTCTTCAGGTTGACTAGGCAACTTACCTGGCACATGGCCTTGCATAGATTTAGCAAGTTGCCCCACTTGTACTTCCAATTTTCTCAGGGAAGCCTCTGTTCGTTGGAAGCGGTGATCATTAGCTTCTTCTTGCTTTTGGAATCGTCGATCATATCCGTCCTGTTGTATCTTGGTGGCCTGCATGAAACTATGCAAGGTATCCTCCAAAGATGGTTTTTGAGGTGGAGCAATTGGTTGAAAATTATTTTGATTATTACCCCAAGAAAAGTTAGGGTGATTCCTCCAACCCGGATTATAAGAGTTAGAGTACGGGTCATTTCTGGGCCTTTGATTAAAGCTATTCATTGCATTGGCTTGTTCAAAACTATCATTTTCTCCAACCATATATGCATTATTTTGCTTCATAGCCATCATAGAACAGAAGTTATTCATTTTTTCATCTAATAACGCAGACATTTGATTCTTTAAATCAGCAATTGAATTAACTTCATTCATACCTGATGTTTGTCCCCTTACGCCTTTTTGTTGGGAGTTTGCTCCTAGCATTTCATACAATGCTAAGGTCTCCTCCGCAGTTTTTTCTCCCATGGCACCTCCAGCCGCATTATCAACAATTGATTGGCTGGTTTGGGTCAAACCATCATAGAAGGTTTGATTTTGCAGCTCCAATGGGTAACCATGGTGAGGGCATTGAATAAGCAACAGTTTGAACCTCTCCCATGCCTCATGGAAAGGCTCGCCTTCAGCTTGCGAGAAATTTGCAATTTTTCTTCTTAATTCAGAAGTTTTAGCATGGGAATAGAACTTACCTATGAACTTATTGTAAACCTCCGTCCATGTCCGAAGGGATCCAGGTGTGAGAGACATGAACCATTGTTTTGCCGCATCTCTCAGAGTGTACGGGAAACACCTCTTCCTTAGTTCATCTTCTGGCAGGTCATTCAATGGAAAGTTTTGGACTACCCCGTAGAAATCCCGGACGAAGGTAAGGGCATCCTCGGTTGCTAAACCGTGAAAAGATGGCAACTGATTGTAATGGATCGTTTTCAGCTCATAATTCCTGGCTGCATTGGTAAGCACTATACAAGAAGGTGAAGTTCCTACTTGGGGCCTACCAAAGTCTTTCATCAACCTAGGAACGAGCCTAGGGTTGGGGTTAGGTGGAGGAAGTTCAGCCATGGTTGTGGTTGTTTCTTGTGGTTCTAAAGGTAAACTATTTTTCTTTTTTCTATTGATGCGATCGTCTAAAGGCAATAGTTCAGGATTTAAAGAACGGCGACCATGCATAAAATAAATAGATAAATGAATGAACGAATAAAATAGCAAAAAAAAGTAAATAAATTAATATTTTGACTAAATAAAATAAGCCAGCAAATAAAGAAACAAGATAATAAAGATAGGTAAAGCAAAAAGCAAATTAGAAATAAATGTTATAAGTAGTATTGAGCGAAGGAAAATAAACCAAATAAACAAATTGCACAATAAGAAAAACGAGGAAGAACAGAAAATAAATTGCAAAATAAACAATTCCCTGGCAACGGCGCCAAAAATTGATAGACAATTTTTAATTGTCATCGCAAGTGCACGAGTCAGCGTAGTAATATGGTGCAATAGCAAGGGTCGAACCCAAGAGGAATTGATAATATGCAATTTATAATCTTAAAGTTAATTAACTCGATAATTTAACGTGCTAGAAACAAAAATCAATCGTACGAATCAATTCAAGTGCAAAACAATTAAAATCAATGCTTCAAGAGCTAAGAGTTGGAAAAATGCAGTATTAAAAGCAGTACTCACAATTTGGAATTTGGCAAAGTAATGCGAAGAGAGACTATGAATTAAAGAGAAGGAAAAACTCAACAATAATTAAATAATAAATCAAGATAAAGCAGTTATTGTTGGATCATGGCTTTTTCATTATATTCTTAGAACAAAGAAATTGACAGTCCTTTATAATCAAGAAAGAAATGATAACTGGCATCAATGGTTCAATGTTTCACCAAAACAACATTACCAACTAAGCATAATTAACAGTATATTGGTAAATGCAATTAGCATAAAACATTAAGTATTGCAACACAGTTTAAAGTTTTCGGCATTGAAAGAATTCTAATCACAACAAATTAAGAGATAGAGAAAATGAAAAAGGAACCAAGGATTAAGCTGCTTACAATTCAGAAATTTAGGAAGAGAAAAACAAGGCACATTAAAGAATTAAGTTTTAAAGAGAAAAGAACCAGATTGCTCGAAAAAGTCTTTCGCCAGAATTTTGCTGTCGGATTAATGCTTCCAAGATCGCCAATGGACAGCACCGCCGGAATTCACGAGCCACCGGATCAGATTAATGCCCGGAGTTTCCGAAGTTAATTTCCGCCCAGACGGACGTATTTGAAGCAAGTTTTTGGGGAAAGGTGATGAATTTCGGTGATGAAAAATGATGATCCCCTCTCTTCGATTTTGCCCCCCTTTTATACTGTTCCGGACCTTCGATTCTTTAACGAGATTTCGCTCCAAGTTGTGGTCCGAACTTCCGCAGAATGCTTTGAATCAAGAACTGCCATTGAAGCTTCCGAACAATCGGACGTTCACAAGACCGGAGCCTCTACCGTTTGTGTTGTCCGCATCGTTCGTTCTCGGTGTTCCGTCTTTCGCGGTATTGTTGTGGTGTTCGCGTCCTGAGTCTGGAGTGTTGCTATTCACGGCTTTTATTTAGGGATGGAAAAAAACATAACATAATAATAATAATAATAATAATAATAATAATAATAATAATAATAATAATAATAATAATAATAATAAAACACAAACTTTAATTTAACAAAGCTTATTAAAATAAGAGAAAATACAAAATTAAGTAAATATTTTCTTACTAATTCTAACAAAGTTTATTAAAAATAATAACATAAATATTGTTCATCAACAATCTTCATTAGGAATGCAGTCAACGTACCCAATTATATGTATTGATCCCCTATCATGGGCTTTCGGTATTTAATCAATAGACGGAGGTTTCTTTGATAGCCCTTTTAGAGGTACGTTGTGGTGGTGATATAAAATAGATTACGCAAATAAAATAACGCAGATAGGGAAATGTTACTTCTGAAACCACGTACTAGGTGAAAAAAAAGGGGTATAGCAATCCTTGAGGGATTGATTTGTGATATGCATTGAGTTAGACTTGGGTAAAAAGAACTTGAGTCATAGTAACGTCATAGCAATCCTTCAGGGATTGATGGGATAGGTGGACCATTTTTGGTCAAGAATTTATCGTCAAGGTTCATGCTAAAGGGTGACTCATAGAATTAAAGCCCTTAATCTACCTTCTGGGCAAATAAATATAGAAAAATGAGGACTATAAACTTAAATATCATATGCCCTAATAATAATTGTTTTTTTTAATGGAATTTCAATTCCATTTGCAATCATATATTTTCCAAGAACCTAACCGACCTTAAACATAATATCTCTATACTCATATTTGAGGACATGTAGGCCAATACATACAAAACATACAATTTATTTTTAATATATTGAAAGTCCATTAAAATCATACTCAAGGTTCATTTTTTGTGCATTTAAGGTTCATTATTTAGTATATTACTTAAAAACTCATTTTCAGTACATTAAAAATACAATCGTTATATCGTGGATTAGGGTCCACAGTGCACTGTGGACTCCGGTCCAATACGACGTCGTTTCGATTAAGTTGGTGGGGAGTTGACGTGACGGACACCCTTCCGTCCGTCCAATCCCATTACAAATTTTTTTTTTTCGTTTTTAACAGTTGTGTTTCGTTTGTATAGTAAGTATTTTTTTTTTTTTTTTTTTTTTAGGGAAAAAGGTCAAATAGGCTCCTGAACTATACGCGAGAAGTCAATTAGGCCCTCAAACTATCTAATGTCGTAATTAAACACACGAACTCTTCATTTTAAATCATCGAAGCCCTATGACCGGTTAGTTCCCGGTAATCACCTGTAAATGCCTCCGTGGCAGCGGACTAGACAATATAGTATTATTTTTTAATTGCCACATAAGCAAACTAAAAACCAAAAAAAAATAAACATTAATAAGAAAATAAATAATAACGTGGCAGTGCAGTGATAGTGAAATAGGAAGTAAAAAAAAAAAAAACAAATAGAGTTAAAAGATTAACATATGAAATACGAACCAAAATTCAAAACCCCCTAACCCTAACCCAAATTGAAGTCTCAGCGAACTCAGCGTATTCCTTAATTGCGAACTCAGGGCAGCGAAGTGATGGTGAACCATCGCAGCAAGACGAAGGCTAAGATCTAGCGAGCTTGAAAGCCATATTGTTGGTAGTAGACAAGCATCTATCGTAGCAGTTCGAAGAAATTTTTCACCAACTAGGAAGGTATGTAACAGACTGGAGCAGACGAAAAGTTGTTGTAGAGAGGTAACCTTAGCTTTCCCTGAACTATCCCTTGTTGGAGTAAAACTTTCCTATTAGCAAACCTTAAAAGTATACTGTTTTTGCTTTTAGGAACTAAAGTTTTTAGATAATTGGTAGCTAACTGTAATAAGCTTTTTGAGATATGGGTTTTGAATATTTGAAAGTGGAGATATGGGTTCTGTATATTTGATAATGGAGATATGGGTATTTGTATATTTGATATTCTGACAGTGAAAATTTTCAACTGAATGGTGTGAATTTAGAAGCTTTGTGATTTGGGTCCCATATGTAAAAATGGAGACAAATTGGGTTGGTGTGGGTCACTTGAATGCATTTTAGACAAATTGTTTTGTTGTGGTCCCCCATTGCACATGTTGTTTGTCTGGAGTATGTTGTGTATAAATACTTAAATGTATGCTATGCTATGAGAAAGCTGTAATTTGATGCTTTTTGAACTAAATATGTTGACCAGTGTACTACCTTCAACCTCTAAAATATATATTTATTTGTTTTTTTAAGAATGCATTCCATTGTAGAAATACAAATTCACCATGGTGGCAGCTTTGTCCAACAACCTGATATGAAATATGTAAATGGTGAGGTGGAAAAAGTTATGTTGGACCCAGATTATTTGTCATATCAACACTTGCTGAAATATATTAAGGAAGATAGGTATGGTAGCATACTATCTCTATCATACAAATTACCACATGAGCGAATGGAGAACCTACAACTGCTAAACAATGATAGAAGTACACTTGACCTTATCTATTTGGCTTCTACGTGGGGTAAAGTTTATATATTTGTGGAGCATGGTATAGATAATGCAGAGGTAGTTCCAGGGTTGTCATTACCAGCACGGTACATGCACCAAATGTAGGAGATACTGTATTAGAAGCTGAAGAAGATCCTGGGGTGGTTACACAACCAGATAATGAAAAACGATGTGATGATTTGGAAAAACAAGGTGATGAAGATCAGTTAGTTGGTGATGCTTTGGAAGGGGAAGAAGATGAATACAATGATGATGAAGATGAATACATGGTTGAGGATTTGGAAGGGAATGAAGATGCCTTTGTTTATGTTGAGTGCCATACTGCCTCATCTGATGATGATGAGGAAAATAGAAGGGCTAAAAGTGCAAGGGTAGAGGTTGAAACTGAAAATTTGGATAGGGGTGTGAATGTAGAAGTGCAGATTGAGTATTATGACTCTGAAGACCCCCCAAGCTATAATTCTGAACAAGACAATGAAGAAGCACCATTTGAGCAGTCCAAGAAGGCAATAAGTAGATTTAAAAACCTTTCGTATAATCCCAATGTTCAGCCAATTGAGCTTGAAGTAGGGACTCTATACGATGATGGGAAGCAATTCAAGAAAGCAATGATCAATTATGCAGTGTACTCGAAGATGAATATTCACTATGTGAAGAATGAACCAGAGCGGGTGTCATTTGCATGTCTAAATCCTTGCCCATTTCATGCTACTGGTTCATGGGATGAAAGTCTCAAGTGGTTTCAGTTGAAAACACTCACTGCAGAACACAGATGCAACCAAAAGTACAGCTTGAGAATTGTGAACCAAAATTGGATTGAAGATAGGTATGAGGATAACATAAGGGATAACCCTACAATTGGACCAACATAATTGAAAAATCACATCAAATCTGAACTGAATCTTAACTTGGATATTTGCATGGTGAGAAGAGCAATGAGGGCTATACTGAAGAAAATTGATGCTGGTTTTCAGGATCAATTTCGTAGAATTAGGGATTATGCAGCAGAATGTATGGACTCCAATCCAGGTACAAATGCAAAGATAGAAACAAACAGAACTATCCCTGACAGTCCTTGTGTGTTTCAGAGATTTTATGTTTGCTTTGGAGCTTTAAAGTTAGGGTTTTTAGAAGGGTGTAGGAAAGTGATTGGGTTGGATGGGTGTTTTCTGAAAGGAATGTTGAAAGGTGAAATCTTAAGTGCAGTTGGTAGAGATTCTAATAACCAAATGTACCCTATAGCATGGACAATTGTAGAGATTGAGAACACGGATTCTTGGAGCTGGTTTCTAGGGTTATTGAAGGCAGATTTGGGCATCACAAATACTTTTCCTTGGACAATAATCAATGACCAACAGAAGGTAAAAACAAAATAACATATTTCAACATTTTACCTAACATATTTCAGCATTTGAACATACTTTTCCTGTAGGGTTTAACACGTGTAATTCAAGAATTGTTTCCTGACTCTGAGCACCGTAACTGTGCTCGACATGTGCATGCCAATTGGAGTAAGCTACACAGAGGGAAAGTATTGAAGAAACAGTTTTGGATGTGTGCCAAAGCTACGACTGAAGCTCAATTCCATGAACAACTAAAATGTTTAGAAAAGATGGAGATCACAGCAAAAACTGATTTAGAAAGGTAAGCAATTATATATTTATGATTCATACATGTTTTGTGCAATAATTTAAAGTATATGTGTGTCTATGTGTGTTAAGGTATCCTCCAAGGTTGTGGTGTAAGGCTTTCTTTAGAACAACTGTCAAGTGTGACATTGTAGATAATAATTTGTGTGAGGCTTTTAATGGCACTTTGGTGAAAGCAAGAGTAAAGCCCATTATCCCTATGTTGGAAGACATTCGAGTAGGGGTAATGAAGAGGATTGCAAAAACAAATAAAGGTTGTTGAAAGGTGGACAGGAAATTATGGACCACTGATAATGAAGAAGTTGAATGCAAATATAGTTGAAAGTATGGGATGGAAGGTAATTATATTTCTTTTTGAAATCAGATTATTCAGTGATTATTTGCTGGATTTTAAGCTACTGAATTTTAATCATGATAGGTTGTTTCAATGGAGATGATGATTATGAAATTAAGAAAGGGAGACAACAATTCAAAGTGAAACTTGCAGGTAGAAGCTGCTCATGCAGGTCATGGGATCTTTCTGGTATACCATGTCCACACGCTATCTGTGCCATCTTCGATACTGGAAGGGACCCAAAGGAGTACATTGACTCCTGCTATTCAAAGGAAGTGTACCTAAAGACCTATGCACATGCACTTCAACCAATGAATGGAGATTTATTCTGACCAAAGACACAATTTGAGGAGATACTTGCTCCAATACAAAAAAAAAAATGACAAGGAGACCGAAAAGAAAAAGAAATCGTGAGGCAAGTGAAGCTCCATCGCGCCGCACAATTCTTTGTTGCAGGCTAGCCAAACAAGATGTCATTTATTTGAGATAGTTATTAGATGAATTAATAATAATAATCTTTGTTACAGGCTAGCCAATCAAGGGAAGGAGTCATTCAACCAAACACCAATGAACTGACATAGCACACCACTACATTTAGAAAGTAGAGTTTTGTAGTTGGTTTTTGGTACTGTTTGCCAATAGATTGTTTTTGGAACATAACACTGCCATTACAAACAGCTTTTTTGGTATAGTTTAGCAGCTGACTTAAGTTGTGTGTACGTAGATGTTGAATTATGTCTTTGACAAATGTGTACATTGACTCTACTTTGGCAAACATGTTAATGAAAATGTATGGCTTCTTTATTGGTGTATTCAATCATGTGCAAATTATGAATTTTAATCTTGTGCTTTTTTGGCAGATTTTTATGTTCAATAATGAGAATAAATCAATGTGCAATCTTTTATAGAGAACAAATTAAATTTAAGCTAGGTGACTGAGTCAAGCAGATCCCAGTTAAGAGACCTAAAATATACAATTGAAATATCTAACAAGTATATCAACTATCCCAAAATGGAGCCTAGGGACTCCAGGTGTTTCCTCTGCATTTGCAAAAGGGAAACATGAACAAAATCAAATAATACAGGAGTATTGGATTTAATTGATGCAAGAAAGTCCTCTAATTCAAAGGGACTCAAAAACAATAAGGACCTAAATGTGATTTTTTTTTTTCATATTATGAAGTTTAATTATGAGAACAAATTGCCAATGAAGATTAATCATTAAAAAACTAAATAAATAGTAAATTATACTTGAATTGCCAATAACAAAGCCAATACACAACTAGATCAGCAACATTGATTATATGTCAACAAAAACATCATATTAAACTACAACAAAGGCAACATAGCTTCATATGGTATTGCCATTTGCTGCAAATTTACATACACGGCTATTACTACAACAATTACTAAACAAATTATTGTATTTCTATGTTTTTTTTTGCTTGCAACTTCAGTTTGAATAGCCTTCTCAACATCACTTCGTAATCGCTGAATTTCTTCCATAACTTCATACTTCATTTTCTTCAACTCTAATTCAATCTTCATATTCAAATCAGATTCAAGCTCATTATCCTTCCATACTACACTTTTCCACATAAAATACCCACAACCACCTTCCTGGAAAAATTCAACCATTCAAGAGAATCATAAATTTGAAAACAACGAAAATTTTGAAAATCCAAACAAATTTAAAACAATAACCTAAAAAATTATAAAACAAAACTCATAAAATTTTAAAATCTAAAAATTTATAAATACTTGTACCTTCCACCGTTGATACCCAAAAAATTGTTGTCCATTGTCTCGTGATACACATAGTAGTGATTTCAATCCACAACGAAAATATAAGGATGGCTCATATTGTAAATTTGGCCTCAACTTTTGAGGGAGATTTTGGTGAACCACTCCAAGAAGAAGCTGCCATCTCCAAGAGTAATAAAGATGAGACAAACGTAGGAAAAGAAATATGTGGAGAAGGTGGAGAAGGAGGAGAAGAAGGGCTCGAAGAGAAGAAAAGCTTGAAGAATCTGTGTCGTTGAAAGAGGAAGCGGCGAACGAACTAGAGTGATTTCATCGTGAAAGCAGATTACATTTATAAATCTTATTAATGTTTTTTTTTTTTTTTTGATTTTTAGTTAGCTTATTTGGCAATTTAAAAATAATACTATATTGTCTAGTCAGCTACCACAGAGGCATTTACAGGCAATTACCCGGAACTAACCGGTCATAGGGCTTCAATGATTTAAAATGAAGAGTTCGTGTGTTTAATTGCAACATTAGATAGTTTGAGGGCCTAATTGACTTCTAGCGTATAGTTCAAGGGCTTATTTGACCCTTTTCCTTTTTTTTTTTCTTTTTTTTTTTAATTTTCATAAAACATATTTTATTTTGTGATAATTTTTTTTTGAAACTAAGAACAACATATATTAATGAAGAAGGACAAAAATAAAGTCAGGGGGATCAGGCTCCCTGTAACATAGCACTAGCATGTAAAACAGGTGACGCTAAAGAATGAGCTAACTGATTCGACGTACGAAAAGAAATAGAATAGGAATTAAACGAACTCATTAAACTTCTACAATCCGAAATTGCTAAACCATCACAAGACCTAATAACAGACGATGACAAAGGAAGAATCTGACAAAGATTTGAATAGTCTGATCGAAGTGTGATGGTCACCATATTCCGCTCTCGAAGCCAAGAGAGAACCTCCTTACAAGCAAAAGACTCGGCCATAAAAGGACTAGTGCATAGGGGAAGAGGTTCGTTGGTCGCCGCAATGAAGATTCCTGTAGGACTGAGCAAAATTGCCTCGTACGGTGCTTTGCCAGTGCCATGGACGTAGCCCGCACCGAACACACACACCAAACACGGCGCCTCCAGCGTGCCATATTGCGCGTTAGGCTGCCTGCCATCCCGTCTCCCGCCACTCGCCAGCTGCGACGCCTCCAGGGAGCCACGAGAATTCGCCCATATTCTTCTCGGATGCGCCAGCTTTGCCTCCCACACAGCCGAATTGCGTTGGTTCCACACTGCGTACATGACCGCCACCATGCAAACCAACACTTTGAACATCCGATCCAGCCATCTAGCAAACTCATCTCCAGCCGCATACTGCACCAGCAAAGAAGAAGCATGCCACACTTGTTGAGAATACTCACACGATACAAGGCTATGCATTACATTCTCATTTTGGACTCCACACATAGGGCATGCAAGAGGGACATCCACCCTTCTACTATATAAGTTAGTTGTAGTGATCGAGAAGCACATTACTCACAACCCTCCACAAAAAAAGTTTTCCATTTAGGGGAACCTTCAATCTCTAAATTTTATTCCAAGGAGAGAAACCGGTAGGATATGGGGCTAGGTCCCCCATAATGCTACAATAACCTCCTTTAACCGTATAAATCCACTTAGGATCCCCTGCCAATACTACAAATCATCATAGGCAGGGCTCACTAGAACACGAATGATTCGATCAATATCATATGGCAAAAACAATTCATTAAGTAAAGGTAAATCCCAAGATAAAGAAATGGGGTCAATTAGACCTGAAACAATAGTGTCACTTAAGTAATGTGGTATTACAGTTTGGATCTTACGATTAGAGTCCCCCATTAACCATGGGTCACCCCAAACTGCAGTTGTAGCACCATTCTCAATTCTGCGTCTGATTTCATGACAAATTAAATCATGGGATGCCATGATACTTCTCCAACAAAAACTTGGACAATTACCCATTGTAGCATTCAAGAATGTAGAGTGTGGAAAATACCTCGCCTTATAAACACAGGCAGCTAAACACCTTGCCTAACATTGCCAAATTAGTGAGGAATCGCCACCCCTGTTTACTTAACATTGCCAAATTAAAAGCCCTTAAATCCTTAAAACCTAATCCATCGAACTTCTTTGGATAACTAAGCCGATCTCATGCCATCCAATGAATACCCCTACCACTTCTACCATTACTCCACCAAAATCTATTCATAGTCCTTTCCAAAGCTTTACATAATGAGTCGGGATCAAGAAAACACACATAGAAAATGTAGGCATGGCCTGTGGCACATGATTTCTTTACCAGCCCGCGATAGAAGCTTCTTAATTCAGGAGCCAATACGCTGTCTCACCTTATCCTCAATATAGGAAAATACAGTCCGTTTATTTGTACCAACAATGGCTGGCAAGCCTAAATATTTTCCAAAATTTGCTGGCTGAGCTACTCCAAAAATGCCATCCACCATGTCCCGGACCATACCTATAGTATTTTTGCTAAAACAAATACTGGACTTGTGAAAATTCACCGTCTGCCCCGAAAGGTCCTCGTAAGTCTTTACTGGATTTTGTAATAAATTTATTAACATTTTATTTATAAATTTAATAAAAATTTCGTAAGTCTTTACTGGATTTTGTATTAAATTTATTAACATTTTATTTATAAATTTAATAAAAATTACTAAAGATGAAATTACATACAAAATTTCCCATCAAAATTCATAAACGTGTTGTTAGTGGTAAGGTTTCTATGACCCCTTGAGAAAGTAAGAAATGTTGGCTTTGTTTGACACACCTAGCTGAAAGTTGAAAGTTTAAAAAACTAGTAGCTAATAAACTAATTAATTGTAATTATAATTTTTGGTAAAATTAATTGTTGAATTAGTTGATAAGCATAAAAAGACAAAAGGATAAGAACTAATATATTAGGATTTTGAATAATGAAGAGTAAATGATGTCATTTTTGTAAATTAATAAATGAAAAAATGAAAAAAGTTAAAAAGCGCTTATTTTGGGAACAAGCTATTATTTTAAGCTTATCATGTTTTACCTAATACGACTTAAGCTTATTTCTAGTTTAAAATAAACTATATACTCACACGAGGGAATAAGCTATTATTTTAAGCTTATCATGTATTTCCAACCACCGCATGAAGTGGTTGGAAATTGCGTCCACAATTGTAAGTGGTCGGAAAGTGTGGTCGGGGCGAAAAAAAGCATTTTCATATTATTGATATGGCCCGTATGAGGATAGTTTTCCGACCACCTAAAGTTATCTAAGTAAAAACAAAAAAAAAAAAAAAACATTTCAATTCTCTGGTAAGAAATTGTTCCGACCACCTCTAAAATCCCCATATTACTCATTATATCCGCATACATGTAACTTGCTATGATTAATTTACATATATATTCTCTGTATGTGAAAGTGTTTGGCTTTGCGCGACACCCGTACAAGTAGACAACAAGCTCAACATAATAAAAATTAAAAATTGAGTAATTGACCACTTGATACTTGTGGAAGCAGTGTGAAAACATTTTACAATTCTGATACTATGATGATTGATAACAAGTAATGACTGCAGTACCTCAGGAATTAAAGAATCAAGACAAAGATGCATTATATATTGATATGATAAATTATTGGCACCAATT